TATGATTTTTAAAAGAATTAATCATATAGTATTATAATATGTATATTAAGGGTCATGTAGTAATAATGATTATAACTACAATTGATTATAAAGTAATAATTTTATTTTTTATAAATCTGTTTTATAAAAATAGATATATTTAGAAAATAATAATTAATTAATTTTTAAATAATAATTAATTTAAATCTTTTTATTTATTTTAAAGAATAAATCTAAATTTAGAATTCTTATATAATATTTAAAATTTAATTCATAAAATGCGATAAGATATTTAATATTATAAAATAATTTTAATTACTTAATTTGATAAAATTTAAATTTGCATATTTTTAAAATTCATAATAAATAAAATATTATAAATAGAATAAATATATATATAACATTATATTATATGTTTTATCTGTAATTACGTTATATAAATTTTTAAAAAGAAAAGTTTATTTCTTGACAAAAATTAAAAATGCAATTTGAATAGTTATAAAAAAATCAAAATTAATATATAAAATAAGCAAATTAATACTTTTTAAACTAATCTAAAAGTATATCTATAATCTGATCTTTCTTCAATATAAATTAATAAAATTTTAGGCAAAATAATATATTGTTTTTCCAAAATTTGTAATTATTTAAATAAATAATTTTAAAGCTAAGCTAGGTTTAAAATTGAATTTTTATAAAAAAATATAAACTTTATTATTATAAAATCTTTCAAAAATATTTTTAAAATACTAACAAATAAAAATACTGAAAATGTAAAAGAATATTTTATAAAATCTAATCAAAAGTAAAAAGTTTTGTACCAATAGAATTAAGTGTTACCTTATTTCTAACTCCTATTGATATAGATACATCTTTGACAATTTCAATTTATGTTTATCATTAGCATATATATAAGTTATAAAATTGTAAAACTTGATGATAAATGCTTTTTCATATTTAAATAACATAATACAATAATAAGAATTTGAATAAAATTTTCAAATAAATTACTTTATACTTTATATTCTATATTAAATTAATTAGTATATTAAATTGCATTTTTGCATATAGATTTTTTGATAAAATTATAGACAAATTCATTTAATACTTGATATATTAATTTTTTCAATAATTTCTTAATCATATTTGTTTTTTAATATTTTAATTATAGTTTCACAAAAATCTTATATAGATATAACAATTGACATATACATTATTTGTGTTGTATATTATTCATAAACTGTAGAAAAAATTTATATAAAAAATAAATTATTATTTTATTTTATTAATATATTAAACTATATTTGATTATATAAATTTAATACTTATATCATTGAAGTATTCTTATATTGTATTTAAAAATCATTAAACTTTATTCTTTTAAATTTATTATTAATTTGTAAATCATAAATAATATTAGGATTTTTTATTTGTAATATAAGTTTTATTTGTTTATATATTCTTAAATATTAGCATTATTTGGAATAGTATCACTATTAATATCTTGATATATTTAATAAATAACTAATGGAAAATATTTCATAAAAGTGAATATTACAAATAAAAGAAATTTGTATTAGTTTAATAATTATATATTAAATTAATAATTTTTATAATATATTACCTTATTTGTAATATTCTTATATATTTGACGAATACTGTATTTTAAAATTTTATTATATATTTTTAGAATTGCTGAACTTTTAATATTGTTAATTCTTTGTTTTTTTTTCAAATCAAATATAAATTATCTCTATAATAATATATATATAAAGTTATTCATAAACATAAACTTATTTCTAAAAATATCAGTCTTTTTAAAAGATTAACAGGCAAATATTTATTAATATATATTAGCTTAAATTCTTCAATTAATTCAAAATATCTACAATTAGCTAATATTGTAATTTAATCTTTCACTTATTAGTAAATCTTCAACTTATATGTATCAATTCAATTTTATATAGAAATAGAATTATTATATATTATTCTCATCTGATTATTTACTTATTTCAAATATTTGATATAATTTTTATATTTTTCATAAAGTTATATAGAATCTTTATAATAGAAAAGGAAGAAATAGTTAAAAAAAAAAAATTGAGTTAATGCTAAATCTGAACATATTTTGATTTAAAATCATATTTGACATATAAAAGTAAAGTTGATTTTTTCTGACTATTTTCTTCTTTCTATTACAAAAATTTTATATTATTTTCTCTTAGAATGATTTTCATCTTAATTTTATAGTTTATGATTATACTATTAATTTTTAAATTGAATCAACATATTGGTATAACTACTAATCTTCTCTTTTTTGTGATATGATATTTTATAATATGTTTAATTTTTTTAATATTTAGTAATTATTTAACAAATAATGATATATATATAAGCAGTATTTTATAAATTTATAATGAAGTAAATCAATATATCAAATAAAATTTGCTAATTATTTGACAAAATCCTTTCTTATAATTAAATAAAGATCATCAATTCATCCTAATTCCATTTTTTGAAATATTTTTAAAAGATTATTATATAATAAATCAGTTTTTAATTATTAACTTTTAGCAAATAGAAGTTAGGGTTTTTTGAACTTTGTATTAAAATCTCTAATATATTTGATATATTTTTATCAGATGATGATAAAATATAGAAATCATTTAAAAAAAATTAAATATTACATATATGTAAATAAACAAGTAAATTAAGATCTTATTTTATACTCATTTTTACATTATATTATTGTAAAGAATCATATGCTTAAAAATAAACTTTAATATTTACAGAGTGATATTTTAAGAAAAAAAGTTATTGTTAAAAAAGATCTATTAAGTAATAAAAAATTTGATACTAATTACAACTTCTTTAAAAATTAATTTTCTGTTTCTTTTTATTAAAATAAACAAATATAATTTTATATTCATATAAAAGCTTTTAAAAAATGTGTTTTTTTATTAAAAAGAGATGCGAATAGAAGAAAAAAGAAATAATTTTTTTATATTTATATTTATTTATAAATAATAAAAATAATATATATCTTAAAGTAAATATTTAATTATTAGTTATAATATTAAAATAAATAATTTTTATAATAATATATTACAAATTTTATATACTATTATTTGATTATGTAATATAATAAAAGTATAATAGAATTTCATAATATTTTTTAAATTATTTATAGTCTATTGATTAATTTATTTCAAATTTAGTATAATTAAATCTAGATAATAATCTTAACTTTATATTTATGATTAAATAGCTAAAATGATATTATATATAATATAGATTGCAATTAAAAATTAAAATTATTAAATTATTATCATTTAATTTTTTTTTTTTTTTTTTTATAAAATATGTTTATAAATCATATAATATTTTGAAAGAATTTATTATTCTAATATATTTTATATTTAGCCCAGAAATGACTAGAAATGCAAACTTATTTAGAAAAAAAAAAGTATTTTTTCTGAAATGATGTTTTTCTGAGGAGGTAATAACAATGGTATATAGTACAATGGAGATAGACATCTCAACTATGACAATACATAGCAAGTTTGAATGATGGTTGTCATTAGACAGTTGTAAGTATACAACCCGATATGTATTAACATGGCCAAGTTCTGAATTCACATCATAAGAATACAATATATATTCAAATTATAGATAGTCCGTTGCAACTGCGACTCAAATCTGAGATGAATTCACGCGTTTTGAATTTTACGAAAAATTTTTTAATGATAAATTTTTTTATAAATATGTACACTTTTTTTTTTTAAAAAAAAAAAAAAAAATATCAAAAAAAGGGTTTCATAAATTTTTTTTTTTTTCGTTTTTTCCTTTTCTTTTTAATAAATAATATAAGAATTTTCAAGTAGATGATCTAAGTAAAGTTTTTCTTCTAGCAATGGTGGATATAGGACGTTTAGATAACCATTCACGCTTTTCCAATGACTCCGATATCCTTTTCCTTTCATCTTCATCAAGCCTATCATCTAAACTATCAGGATTATCCCAAGAAGCTTTAGCGGCAGCAGCAGCATCGGGGGTTATTAAGGTGGTGGTAGTGGTCGTTGATATAGTGGTACTCGTAGAAAAAGTTGTTGAAGCTGTTATCACGGTATTGGAATTGACATCAGATGCTTCTCTACTCACACTGATACTACTGCGATTCCTTTTAGTAGTAGTGGTCGTCTGTTGACAAGAACCACGATCTTCCTCAGTGATCAAATCCATGGAACTTTCAAATGACTTTTGATGCTTAATATGACTTGAAATACTCCTTATGCTTAAACCATTATTTGGATTATTGGTGATAGTAGAAGTAGTTCCGTTGGTACCAACACCCAAGTTATTGTTTGTAACACTACTTATGCTGACTCTCCTTATTCTCCCGCTTTCAGTACTAATACGTTTACCATTACTAACATTATAGGTTGAATCAAATTCATCGCTGATTTGTTCGTCTTGTGAAAATACAAGTGAAGGTCTTTGGGCGGAACCTTTACGATAAAAACTATTTTTCGGAGTCAAGGACGAGGGGTATAATAAATTATCTAAATTATCATCGTCTTTAATTGAGCTGGAAACATTCTGTAAACAAAATCTTGATAAAGATCTACTTGAATTTAACCTTCGATAAGTCTCATCGCGGTTCAATTCTGTGTTATTGTTACTTAAAATGCTATTTGTTATCGAGTTTATCGCCGCCGCATCCAATCCATTTAATCCTAAACTTGTATTGGAATTATTAAATTTCTTATAATAATCGAAACCATACGTTCTCCTATGATTAAAATCATCAGCAACAACAACAACAACTTCATTGTCGTCGACATCATTAACGAACGATGATGAATTTGAATGATTATCATTAATAGTAGGAGTAAGAAGAAGAGTAGGAGTAGGAGTGGTGGCAACAGCGGCAGCAGCAGAAACAGCGGTATCGGTAGCGGTAGTTGCGGCGGTAGTATAATCATCATCATCATCATCATCATCATCATAATCGTTATTGTCCTTATTGGTCGAAGAAGTGGGGGCAATGGGAGTGGTCTGCGTCATCAATGTAGATGTTAAAGGCGTAGTGGTCGTGATACCATAACCACCACCCGTCGAAGATTCTTCATCATATAAGGATTCTTGATCCTTTTTTCTTTGTGAATTATTGTTATTGTTATTGACGATATCCCTTTTAGTTGTCGTCGATGTAATTTTACTTGCTATGGATGAATTTGGTGGATATTGTTTTGCTGGTCTTACCAATCTATAAATTTTTTAAAAAAATATTGCTTAATACCTTTTTTTTTTTTTTGCTGAAATTAGAAGCGGTTGTGGAATACTCACTTGTATAGGAAAAAACCTTGCGTCAAGCTGAAAAATATTGGAATGGTAAAATCCCACATGATCACATACATGACATTCATATTATAATTGAACAAAGTTTTTGTTTTATGAGACATTCCATATGTAATTGACAAGATCAAAAACACAAAAAAGATAATCATGAGAGAAAAAACCGTCAAACACAACTAGGAAAGAAGAATAAACCTTTTGATTAGCCTTTTTTTTTTTTATATAAAAAAAAATTAAATCACCATTGAAAAACATATGCTCACATTTCTCGCGGCGCGTTTTAAGGTAGAAACGGTCCATTGCATATCAGAAGTACCACTAACCTCCTTACGTTTTAAATCTTTAATATGGTTCCATATGACCGTGATTAATTTATACCAAAAATAGATCAAGCTTGAAAGGAATATCAACCCCCACACCGTCCACATAACGGTGTGGATCTTACTAAATAAATTGGCTTTGGCATAATCTTGGTGATCCGCGTAATGTCCCGATATCCATGCTATCGGAAATAACGTTGAGAAGGGTGCTATCAAGAATATGAGTCCTATTATGTCAACTATAAGTTTATTTTGTGGAAAACTGCTAGGATTAATGGTATTATTTGTACTATTCGTTTTCAAATCGTGAGTTGGCGTTGAATAAGCTGACAGGAAGAAAAAAAAAAAAGATATGAATACAAACGGGAATAATTACGGGAGAAAGTTTTACTTTAAATATTAGACTTACTTATGCTTATGGGATAAATTAATACGATCCCGAGAGCCAATTCTCGGGCCAAGTCTTCTCCAACTAGTCGATTTTTTTTTTTAAAAATTTAGCCAAGAATAATTTTGAAAAATAGAAAAAAGAGGAAAACGAAAATTACCTTCAGCCGCAGAATAATTGGGATACGCGTCACTAAGGACCATGATGATATGTATCACGTGGACTAAAAATTCCAAAAAAAGGGGTTAGTCATCGTCAAACTGCGCCGCTATTCGTTTCGAAAGGACAACTCACATAAGTTATATACGATGGAACTCAAGTGAAATACTTCTTGGGGTTTTGGTCTCAAAAATCCCCTTGCTCTTGTTGAAGGTAACCAAAATGATTGTTTTAGTACATAATTTCTATAATATAAGAATCCAATTGAAATCATGATAATTAATGTACAATATGGTACTAATGACCAATGTAAAGTTCTTAATAAACCTTCTTCTTCACATCCGCTATAATTTATTCTGAAATCACACACACATCTTTTTACATGATGTTCATCGGGTATTAGTTCTAACGAATGATTTGAACTGACATCTCCATTGATTTGACCTTTCGGTATAACAAATTTTTTACAAATTAACGAATATTCGCTCAACAAATGCACCATTATATATTATTAGAATTATTTGTCTAAAGAATTTTTTTTTTTTTTACATAAAAAAATTGACGTAATGTGATATATAGATATAAAAGTATTATTGACTTTTTTTAAACAGTTTAAAAAAAAAATGTTTTTTTTTTGTTATAAGAAAAAAGAATTAAAAATAAAAATTTTTTTTTTGAGTTGAATATTAAGCATATAACCTAAATATATTTATATAAAAAAAGTACGAAATATTATTCGTTATAATGCGGAAGCAAAAATGTGGTGAAATAGTTGAACGATATTTGATATTTGTAGATGGTAAGATATATATAATATTAATTTTTATTTTTTGCAAGGATAACACTGAAATGATTAAAATTAAAAAATTACGAAATCGGTAAATATTTATATGTATTATTTATACACAATGAAAAAGGTAAAATAGTTGATTAACCAAAGTCAAAAAAAATTAATAAACAATATTCTCAAAAAAGAAAAAAAGAAAAAATTTTTTTAAAAAAAAAAAGAGAAACCTATAAATGAGAGAGGGATGTGTCAAATGAGAGGGAGATAAAAAATTAAGGTGAAGATAATCGTTTCAAAAAGGGAGGGAAAAAAAAAATAACGCACCAAAAAAAAAAAATTTTTGCAAATAAATGTAGTTTAATCAAAAAGGGTATATTATTCAATAATCTTAATGTATAACAATATATAATTTTAACATTAACTTAAGATAGCAATCATGAATAAACTTGTGTGAGACCATCCCCCATCCTAATTTACAGGTACAGAACTGATTTTTTAAAAAAAAAACAAACAAATTACATTTTATCATTTTATGTGGTTATGTGTAGAATCGATAATGTAGCAGAAATCCAAAAAAAAAATAAATTATTTAAATTCCGTCGCACTGTAAAATAATATTTACTGTATGTTAATCCAAAGTGATTTTGAAAGTTACGCATCTTTCCGTCCTTTCAAATCCTTCTGTAAGATTATTTATTGTGATTAATTAAATTTCTTTGGTTACAAATATTTAACCAATCGAGAAACCCTATTTTTCCCTTTGGATGATATCAATAAATCTTGTGTTAAATAAGTTGATGTTTCAACGACGTTTGTTTTCATTTTAACCAAATCAGGCTGGAAAAGAACCCACACTTTTGGATTCGAATTAAAATCCAATATGACGTCAAAAGAGCTCTCCTAAAAAAAAAAAAAATAAAATAAAATTATGCAGGGATTCATTAAATAATATTGCAACAATTCATTCTTTTTACGCCACCAGCTTATTAACTCAAGTGTTCACCCGGCTGAGAGAAACCTTCAAAGAGGTGCATCATTGGGTATGTCACGAGGCTTATGCATTACATCAAAAAAGGTTTTAAGTTCATTCACAAAATAAAATCTTAAAAAAATCATTACCAAAAAGAACATCGTCGAGAACACCAAAAACCGAATCGAGAATGTTTTCTTTTTTTTCTAGATTAAAATGATAATAATTTTCGCATCTCAAACAGCAAATGTAGATCGGTCGTCGAAAGATTTTCTAGTGGATGATAATTAAGGTTTAGAAAGTCTAATATTAGCTTATAATCGAATTCCGTAAAAAAAATCCCCGTGGTTGAATTCGTTTTTTTTTTTTTTTTTTTTTTTTTTTTTTTTTTTTTTTTTTTTTTTTTTTTTTTTTTTTTGTTATTTTTTTTTTTTTTTTTTTTTTTTTTTTTTTTTTTATTTTATTTTTTTTATTTTTTTTT